CTGAATCACCTCACTGCCTTCCCTTTACAACTTCTGTATCATTTCATGCAAATGCTTTTGTCCATGCTGTTTCATTCTCCTCATCAAACACTGAGTGCCTCTTTTGCTGGCTGCATGCCCCAACAGGAAGGGCATCGCCATCAATAAGCAACACATGGGCCAGAACTTTCCTTCCAATTCTGAAGTATAAATGGAAGATACAAAGTGGCTCGCAAGCAGAAGAATAAAATGATTGATACACTTACTCACAGTATCAGACAGCAAAGACAGGAGCAAAGCAGCTCAGAAGCCAGGTGACCAGTCCCATTCCAATCACATAGCGATGGCCAAAGAACAGCACTGTTACTACACTAGACTCCCTCACTGCAAGGGGAGCCAGCCTTTGTGCTGTTAACCTTAGAGGCAGGACACCTGATGTTAATGCCAAAGGCAGGGGTACATGGTGGTGATCTCCTAATCAGATCCCACCCAAGGCTGGCCAGACCCTGGGTGAAAACCAATCAGGAAGGTCGTTCCTGCCTGTTTATGGACATCATCTATGTGTCAACCCTGATTCAGAGCCAGGAGTTTAGACCCCCACACTTCAGTGCCAGAAAACAGGAAGGTTTATAGCATCTTCTTATCACATGGCATATCTCAGGGCACCTCAGGCAAAATATACAAAGCATCATCAGGTGCTGCAAGATTTCTGGCCGTTTAAAATGGGAAAAAAGGGTGGGAGTGTCAGTGAAACAACTTCCCTGCCTTGTACTTGCCATCTCTGACGTGACTGCATCAGAGTACAAGCAACGTAAAACACCGTGAAGGACTTGTCACCTTTCAGGACTGAAGGGAAGGCAGAAACAACTAGATTTTCTTGCACTGCAGATCTTTCCTCAAGATGACAGTGATCCTTTCAGTCTCCTTAGAAAGCTCAGTGCATTTTTGAGTGTCCCACCCTTATACAGCAGTACACTCAAAGTTATTAAGAGCTGTGACCTTGCTTGGCTAGCTGGTGGCAAAAGGCATATTTTCTGAATAGCCCTATCTTGCAAAACATACAAGGTCTTAGAAGCTTGAAAAGAGATTAGCTAAAACAGGACCTTAAATCCTGAAGCCCTGGAAAAAAAGGCTCACATTTGGATCAGCGGTGGCTGGGGACCTGTTTTACCACGTGAGCTAGAAAGGACAACGAAGGTGAGAATGGCAGCATGGAGTGCAGCTGCAGCCAGGAGGGAGGAGTATCAAGTGTATATCCCCAACTTGTAATACAAGAAGGGAAAATGATCAACAAGAAGGAGATTCTTATTTATCCTATATCCCCCAAGCAGCATTTCTGCAAACCTGAAGTGAAGGGCTGAGATTGCACTGTTCCAAGCACTCCTGTTGTATTACTGTTGCTGGCTACCTATACTCACAAAATTCAAAGGAACAAAGTAAAATCCTGCTTCAAAGCACATCAGTGGTGATTTTGCAACCTAATTCCCTGGAGCCAGGATTTTGCTCAATGATTATAACCCAAGAGCCTAGAACAGTGAATAAAGCCATGGCAAGCTTTTCCTTTAATTCTCTCTTTCTTTGCCTGAAGTTTTCGGGCCAGTTTTGAAGGTGGTTTGAAAAACATGGGCACCCACCCAGGGGGCTGGGCATTGGGCCCTATCAGCTCATTTCTCAGAGAGCTTTCAGGTGGATGGTGGGATGGGTCAGCAGGGGAGAGCATCATTCTGATTTTTAGAGGCAGGACTAAAAGGTAGTTAAGGAGTCAGAGTCAGGAGGTTGAGCCTTTCAGTCAACTTATATTAAGACTAACAGATCCCAGCTCTGCCAGGGAATGAGCTGAAGGGCAAAAGTCCCAGGACACAGTGCTGACCATCTCATTCCCTTGCATGGCACTGGCAACAGAAACAGGTGTGTTGCAACCACGGACAGCTAAACAGGCTCAGGAAGACCTTCTACTATGCAGAAAGATACCACGAAGTATTCCTAGTGAATGTGTGAATGCAAAATCCAAGATTTCACATAGAAGTTCTTTGTCCCCCTCATCTTCTAGTATGGGGAACTGGGAGCATCTGACACACAGAGAAACCTTATGCCAGTGTCCTGTAGAAATGGGCCTTCAACAAAACTCAGGTTCCCAAGTCCATGAAGTCCTTTGCTTGACAGTGAACCTGCTCCCAAATTCTCAATCTAAAACATTAGATCTGAGGATGGATGGACAGCTTTGAACTCCCCAGATTTGCTCCTGGAGCTGAGGTGGGTACGTTTCAATGTTCCTTCGGACCAAGACAGAAGATGAAAAAAACCCTTGCGTTACCTATGGCCTTTGTCAGGGAGAGTCTGCTTCAGTCCCAGCTCTGCTACTGGCACCCTATGGCAGCCTGGGAGAAAAGCAGCTCTGTTCTGACTCAAGTATTTAACTGCTGTTCTGAACATCCCCAGACACGTGAATCCAGCATTTCAGATCTGTATTGGCACAGATAGTGACTGAGGCAGTTGTTCCAATTTTGAGGAATTGATCCTCATTATCTCCACAAGTTCATCCCTAAGTCAAACACAAATTCTGCCTCCCAGGAAGCATACATCCATTGAAACCATTTCTGACTTAGAGAACAAGGTATCTTGAATTTCAAATAGGTGCAGCTAGAGCTGGAAGTCCACAGAAAATGTCTACTCAGAGTCTCACTAAGGATTTGAGTGGAGAGACAAAGGGATGAACTCTCCAGTGACTGTGACATCCAGTGTCAATCTGTGGAAGGAATTCGTTTTGGAGCAGAAGTGAAGCCTAATAGTCACAGATCTTTGTTACTCATGCCGCAGACAGACAAAATAGATGGATATGAAACCAATGAGACAACATTTTTTTGTGAATAAAAAGCCTTTTTGTTCCCTTTTTGATAGAAAAAAGAGGAAAAAATGAAAATTGGACTGTGTCTATTTTTAGGCAGATTAAGAAGTTATTCAGACTAGAGAGAAAGCATCTCAAAAATAGCCTGAACAATATGAAAGTGGAGCAATTGCTGAAGATCTACAAGACTAAAAGGAGGGCAGGAGCCTGGGTAACCAGTTTTGAAGTAGCTGTGAGTGTTTCATTTTTCCAGCCCTGTCTGATGTGTGCTTACTTTAAAACACACTCTGATGGCAGCAGAAGCATGCTCCTGCACCCCAAATCCATGGGGACCTTCACATGCAGCCAAGGAGCTTGGTGTGTGCCTGATCATCTCACAAGCTCAGTTTTGCATTTTGCAGCCTAAACATTCAGCAAAAGCCCAGCCAGCCATTGCTACCCACCGTGACACAAGGCTTGCATCTCCCACTAAAAGCAATCAAATGTACCCAGGTTTGTCACATCATCCTCGAGAAATGACCACCCTTGAAGTTTGCCTCAGGAGGGAGTGAATTTCTGAGGCTGTTTTGCTCTGGCTTCTGCCCAGATTCCTCAGGCTTCATCATTAGAACATCAATTGCCAGGTAAACATTGAAACCCTGAAAAGATATGGCCAGGAACTAAAAGGCGGCTTTGGAAATGAGATGGACTTGGGAACTATTGCCCACACTTTCAGTCGTTGTGTTCTGGGCTGTTGAGGTTGGAAGTGAAGGCTGAGGGGGACATGTGATCCTACGTCACCCAGGAGATGGGTATAATTGCTAAGCAATGCTTGTCTTTTGCCCCAAACTTTGAAATATCCTAACCATGCAATGAGAACAGCTGGCTGGGGAGAGACTTGCATGCACACAGAAGGGACACCACCTCTTCCTCGGTGTAGATGGAGCATGGCTGTGGTGGCACAAGGTGCAAGGAGAAGGCTGGATGAGGCCACATGTCTGCACATCCCTTTGGTGGGGGGGTGACACTCGTGCCCCTGCCAAGCTGCCCTGTGCCAGGCCCTCGGCGTGCCTTCTCCAGCGGATCCCCGTCAGCCCCGGGGCTGGCGTTTGCCCAGCTGGCCTGCTGCCACCTGCCTGTCGCTGCCACTCACAGGCAGCGGTGACATCCCGGCCAGAGGAGGGGAAGAGGTGGAAGACTGCCCCCAGACCATCCTCCCCAGCAGCCTGGTGCAGGAGACGCAGCAAAGTGGCAGCCTGCCCTGAGCTCCTGGGGAAGGGGAACCAGCCACCGTCCCCAGGCAGCTAAGAGGAAGGAATATGCAGGACCCACTGCTGAGAAATGCAGCAGAGTTGTGGGGAAAAAAAACTCAGGGCCAGCAGGCAAGGAGTGGTGGCCTCTGTCCAACAACCTGAGGAGAGTCCTGCCTCCTGCCCCAAGACACTGGGGCTCCTGCCCTTCATCCCCCTTAGTATGACAAGGTTTTAACCACTCACCAGAAGTGTATGGGGCTCAGTAACTTCTGCAGGCATGGGAGGATGAAACATAAACTGCCCACTGCTTTGGGATTGCAGGTCCAAGGACCAGCAATTCTCCTGGTACCACACAAGCAGAGAAGGTGCTTCAAAAAAGAGCTCAAATGTCAGCTGGCAGCTCCGGCCAATGCCCCAGGAAAGGTGGAGGAGGAGGAGGAGGAGGGGTTCCCATGAGTGCTCACCTCCTTTGCTGCTGAGGAAACCAGGCTTTTCCTCTAGCAGGGCACATGAGGCTCTGAAACTGTTTAACCTGAGATCTGTTTTCCAAAGAACTAATCACTGTGATGCCCAAGGGGTTACAAAGAGAGATACCCTTATTAAAAAGTGTTGTAAATACCTTCTATTTTTGTAAAGCCCTAGTAGGACAGGCTGTGCCTTGGTTCTCTGTGCAAGTGAAATCTGTCCCTTTGCAAACCCTGCCTGCATCCTCCCAGCATCGACATCTTCCACGCCCTCCCTCTTGCTTGCTCCCTCTCTCTCAGATGATGCAGAGTGCCAGCAAGTCCCTCAATGGTGTCATATCTGTCCTTTTTATTCATTGCAGGGTTTATTTTTAGCCTGAAACAACTGCTTCCTAAAAATGGAGTTCCTAATGACACGGGAGCTGGACACAGCTATGTAAGGTATCCAGGGCTTGGCCTGACAGCTTCTCCTGTCTGTCTCTTTGTTGTGAGCCCGGGACAGCAACGTTTGCTGCTCCCCACCAGCCTTGCAGCGTTTGGTCTGGTCACTAGGAAGGCAGCAGAAAAGAGAAACTTGCTTTGAACTTCACCTGGAGCCTTTGGTCTCCCTCTTTTCCAAAATTAAGAAGGAGAGGGATGTTTACCTGCCCTCTGCTGCACTCCAAGGGCTCCCTTATGAAGGTGACTTTCTGGATTCTTGCAGGTTTTTACCTGCTTTTCTGCTGCAAAGCAGAAGAGGGGCTAAATTTCCCCACTTACGATGGGAAAGACCGAGTGATCAACCTGAATGAGAAGAACTACAAGCAGGCCTTGAAGAAGTATGACATGCTCTGCCTGCTCTTCCATGAGCCTGTGGGCTCTGACAAGGTCTCCCAGAAGCAGTTCCAGATGACAGAGATGGTCCTGGAGGTAAGCACCACGGCACATCTCAGTCGGGGTCAGTACCACAGCACCGTTTGGAAAGTCAAAGGGTCTTGGGCGGGGAGGGGAGCTGAGCACCCTAAAGTTTAGATTTGTTCACCTGGATGTGAATTAGCCCCTGCGTTCTGTGAAGCTGGGGGAAAAGCCTCTTCTGGGCTCTTCTGAGTTGTCTTATGGTAAATGATCTTTCTGGATTGTGTGTTAGAAATCCAGGCAATAGCGAGTAACGTTGCAAATCTCAGCAAAGTGAACTCAGCTCAGCTGAGCTTTACCAAATCTCAACACAAACCTGAGTCCTTAGCTTGAAATTTTGAAATCCCTTCTCATTCTGTGCAAGCCAGTATCCCTCTTGTAAGGCTTCAACCAAGAAGCCTTACCAAACTGTGTTGCAAATGGGAGATGGTAGCTCCCCATCTCAAAAGCTCCCCATTGGTGCAGCATTAAATCCCTTTTTGCTTTTTTTCTGACACTTGGTTGCCTGCTTGGAATCAATCTGTAGTTGTTTGTTAGTGCAACTACTCATTGCCATACTGGGAAAAAAACGTCGTTAATTCTTTGACTATGAAAGAAGTGAAATTCATGAAAGAATGACTAATTAATCCTCAGTAAAATAAATCTGGATAAAAATTATGAAGTAGATTCATAGAATTCTTTCTTTTAATCTAGGGAACTATACAGCTGCAAGCCTGGATTGTGGGGTTCTTGTTTCCTACCAAGAGGGATTACTTATAAGCCCCTAACTATAAGACACATTTGGAAAAAATAGTGAGAATTGCCAAAGAAACACATGAGTTTTATTATCAGATTCAGAGAGAAAATGCATTGCACCCCTAGGAGCATTGCAAATATGAATTAGAAAATACATTTGCTGAGGGCTAGGACCTGAAAAAGTCGAATGTCAAGTTCTTGCTCCTCAGAAAACCTGACAACAAGAAAGATTCCAAAATTAACCAGATTTCATTCACTTGTCAGGAAACAGTTACCTGCTCCAGGTGAGCAATAAAACAAGACGTAACAAAGAAAAGAAAAACTCGTGCTGAAACTCCAGTTGAAATGGTTGTTTGTGGTTGGTAGTAAAATTGCATTGTTATTTAATAGGATAGCTATTTCGTTCTCATTAGATGGCAAGGGGCTGATAAATATGTATTTATAGAAATCTGACAGAAGCAGGTATTTGTTGGGTGGTATCAGTTTTAGTCCCTATGGCACCAATACCCATGTTAACAATCAGCCACATCAAGGGTGGGATGGCTACAACACAATCTGGCTTAAAGCTTTTACTTTGCAGAGTTTGATTCAGCAGTGAGTACATTAGCTTAGGACTCTGGTGATTTGGTTTCTAATTGCCTCTCTGCCGTGGACTTCTTATGTGACCTTGGGCAAGAGATTGAAGATTAGATCTGCAGCAGACTTCATATAATTGTAGTGCTCCAGTCCACTAACACTCAGCTACTGGCAAACTGTGCCACACAGCTAATGCCCCTTGTGGCTTTGACCTCAAACTTTCCCAAGCAGCTGCAATGCTGATTCAGTGAGTGTCTCAAAGTTTCACAGTCCCACCCCCCTTCCCCGGGACTGGGAACTGAAGCAGCAGCATTCTGTCACCTGAGGGAATCAGATAGGGAGAGGATCTCAGAAGGCAACAGAGAAGATAGGATGTGTCTTATCCTGCACAGGGCACAGCCCAGCAAGGTGCTAGCGATCCCAGTTTCTGTACTAAGCCAAGCATGGGAGCACTGGTGAAAAGAGCAGGCAAGCCAGGTTGTAATCTGCTCCCTCTTCTGACTGGTTTCACTCCCTCACCTCAAACCATAATGTGGTGTGCCATGGATGCACAATCTCCCCTATCAGAGCTCATCCAGCTGTGGGACTTCACTGCATGTTCACTAGGAGAGGGAAAGAAGTGTCTGCAGTGGCTCTGTGGCTGAGGTGTGGAGCTGTTCACCAGGGAGATGACCTCTCTGGAGGCAGTCAGCAGCTGAATCCAGCTCTCCTGTAATTTGAGCAAGTAGAGTAGTGAGCTGCTGGGTAGGCACAGGAGAAGGGACAGGGCCTCTCCTTCCAGCCAAACCTGGGAAAAGTTCACTCAGGAAGGATTTATGTATCTAATTTCAGGAGAGGGTTCAGGGCTCTGAGTTCTGAAGGTCCTTTATGCCTGAAATAAGGTATCTAAGAGGCAAACACTCCAGCCCTTAGCATTCCCTGCAGGCCAGTTTGGGGGATCCCAGCAAAGAGTACTGCCTGTGGTAAGATGCCTTTCTGGAACATCTCATGTTCTTCCATATTATTGTGCTGAGAATTTACCTACTGATTTACAACAAGATATGTTGCTTCCACAGCCTGGGAAACGTCATGTCGTTAGCCTTCCATCAATAAAATGGCACTGGTGTCCATCATTTGGAATAATATGGAGATTTTATCCAAAACACAGGCAGGTGTGGAGCTGAGCAAAGATCTGAGCTGCGTGGTTAAGGGTTGTTTTATCCTACTGCTCATGAACATGATTGTGTATGCACATGGGAGGGAATGGGCTTAATGGATGTTAAGTCCAGAAAAAAAACAAATAGTCCACACACACAAAAAAAAAAACTTTCTGTTTTCCCACATGTACCTTACAGGAAATGTATAATTCCAAAGACCTGAAGAAATATATTAGACATGATAAAAAGACCAAGAGAGATGCAATGCCTGGATTCCTGCAAATTTGCTAGGAGAAACTCCCAGATGTGCCCAGCTAGTAGATGGTATGGCATGTTGCTGAAGCAAGTGAAAATCCCAGCAGTGGCAAACAGTTCCTTCTTGACTCCAGATTCAGCCACCAGCTTAGGCTTCAGCATGGAAAAAATCCACAGCTACAAAGCACCCAAACAGGGCAAGATGGGTGTAGACAAACACTCCTCCTAGAAATATATTGTTCCTTGATCACAAGCATGGTTTCCTTGAAATATGTAGCTCGTGGTCAGCAACAAGGTCTGACTGGGACTTCTCCCATGAGTGAGGAGCCCATGACTCATTCCCTTTCCTGGGTGCTCTGGTGTCTAACAGGGGTGGAGCTCATGTGGTGACATTTCCTTCTTTCAGAGCAGTTCGGGCTCTTCCCTTTCAAGTTCTTGTTCTTCACAAATCTTCTAATAACTTTATTATACTGAGATCCCTGCCTCTGGAAAACTTGGCTGAAAAGGGCCAACAGCTAGAAAAACTATTAGGGGAGACAGCTGACAGAGAGACCTGGAGGGAGAGAAAGAATACAATCACATGAATCTCCTATCATTAGGAAAACAATCTGAAAACCTGGCAACACATGAGTAAAGTTAAGCACATACTTAAGGACTTTACCTAACCACAACTACAGACAGCACACTGAGGAGAAAGTTACATGATAGGAAAAATTTCCTTCCTAGGACAAAAGCCCAGCATGCAGGACTGGCTGACACTGCCAAAGCACCTTGGCTATCACCAGGAAAGGGATGTCATCATTAGGCTGATATTACAGTGGGACAGCACACAGGGTCTTCAGCCCTCCTCAGCCAGGTGTGCTTGGGACTGTGACCAGATTCCCTGCAGCCCAGGGTTTCCTTCCAGTTTAGAAATGGAATGAAGTTGAAGCCCATCATGAAGCATCCATTACAGCTCCTGCCACCTAGACTGCTGAGTGCTACTTGGTGATACTTGACAGGGTCTGGGGACAACCAAGCCCCCCTGGGAGCAACAGCAGCTTCTTTGGACCATTCTTTGTGCATGACAACAGGTCCAAGGATGGCAGTGGCAGCCCCTAAGGTCAAAGTGGGAAAGATGGGATCTGTTGGGTTAGTCTGTCAGGAAAACAGCCAAAGCAATGACTGGAGATGCAGCTACCTACTGCATTCTGGCTAGTGTGGAAAAGAGTTGGGAAAGGTGACAACCCAGGGCAGAGGCAGCAGAAGCACAAGTGGTTTCACTGCTCAGGTTCAAGGGCTCTCCTCCATTTGCCTTTCTCCAATGACTCCACTTTGCACCACTGAGTACTGAAAAGCACCTGTAGCTCAAGTGAGGAAAAGCCTCTGTACAGGGCAATGCAGAGGTTGAATCAGGCAGTCCTGGAGCTAACAGTAGCTATTCTTACTCGGTGTCAAAGTTTGTAAAAGCCCTGCATGCCCCACAAGGTGAGCACAGTGGTGAAACAGGGGACACAGCCAGGCACAAAGCGTCACAGTAGTTATTTAACAGGCAAGTATGAAAAGAAGCTACTTGTCCTAAAAGGTCTCAGCTTTTATGAAGAAGGGCCAAAAGAGGAAAAGACCAAAACAGTGAAGCTGAGAAATATCTATTCTGCTTTTTTTCTTTATAGCTCCCCTACCATATTTCACTCTGTCTCATACCAGCTCTTCTCAGACCTTCTTCCCTCTCATCTCTGAATCTCCTAAATATTGGGATAGTTTTTATTTCCAGTGGGCCTGCACTTGTCTCTAGGAACCATGTAGCAAGAGTAATGAGCACTGGGGGCTTTCCTTCCACACTTGAGAAGCTCTCTCCGGCAACCGAGGCTCTCACTACCACAGCAGGCTGCCTGCAACGCAGACCATTGACTCCATGACCCTCTCCCCTGCTGAAACTTGCTCAGTCCTAGCTCCCCTGTCATTCTTCCCTTGTTGTCTGTGTGCATGTGTAATATCCTTTAAAAAAGGGTTGTCAAGCCCAGATATTTTAAGCCCTTCAATGCAACATTGCCCCTGAGCTGAAAATTAATGGACAACCGCCCTAACTCAAACCTGTCTGATTAGAGGTAAGAGAAGAGGGATGTGATACTTCCCTTTGCAGCTGAGGTCTAGGATCAGCCTGGCCTCTAATAAATAAATGGCAGGACAAAGTGAAACTCCTTAATATATTTGGCCAATTCTGTAACACAAGTGAACATTTCCCCTGTGAACCTGGGAATAGAAACCCATGAGATTACATTGCACGAGATCCTCCCGGTGCCCAACTACAGCCAGCAGTGGTGTGAGAAGGAA